AGCACGAGGAGGCGGTCGTGAAGGAGGCATCGGGTCGGGATGAGAGGCAGAGTGCAGAAGATACGTCGAGATCGGATGGTACACGTGAAGTGAAGGTGCTCAGAGGAAGAGAGGGCCAGCTCGGCACTTCGCGGGTTACCCGCGGTGAATTCCGAATTTCCAGGGCGTAGCAAATTTCAGAAAGCTTGGCTATATACCGCCTTGGCTCGGTCGTCAAGTAGGATTTTGCTCGCCCGTGACAACGAATTTCGGGATCGCCGTGTAGATAAGAGCCGCAGAATTTTATCCCGGCTTGGGATAATGGAAGGACGGAGGGAGGTACATCGTATTTCTGAATAAAAACTCGTGCTTGAAAAACGCAAAAAAAGAATGTCAGTAAAGTGTCTTTTATTTGTCACCCGGACTATTCTACTTCTTTCTTAACAAATACTTTATATCACGCAAATATTATGTACACGTAATAGTTTTTATTATGTATTTCTAATAGATTTAAAATATTATGTAATATTTTTATATAATCTTTAGCATAAAACTATTTTATTAACATTACATTAAGTTAGCAGCTAGTATATTCGTGTATTCGATATTTCGATACATAAAACAGAATTTTGTATGCTGTATATAAATTATTTCGGATAGAAAGAAAGGGGCTTAAAACGTGAAAGATATTTTTAATGTGACTTTATAATACTCGGAACAAAGTTGTTACGATCTGTATCAGCGATAATATAATGAGCACGCTGAAAGCTGATTTGTCGATAGAATGCTTCTTAATAATAATTTCTCTCTTCGGTCTTATTGATTGGTCGTATAAGATAACCTAAAAGAAAAAAGTTATTAGGAAAAAATCCTATTTATTAACTTTATTAATAATAAAAGTATTCGACTGTTTTAACTTTAATAAATTAAAATTTATTCTGGCATCTGCGATTAAGGAGTAACGCCACTCTAGAATTTTCAAAATAATCAACAAATTTTTTTTTGTTTAAATGATGCCTTAGAGTCTTAAAAATAATGTACACTTGGCCCCGTAGTGCGATAAAATTTTTAAGTACTTATTTCGAAACCGAAACTGCCTTCGCTCGATTAATAAGAAAAGATTCGTGATACTCGTGGCAGAAGGTAAAAGAGGCCATGATATTGTTAAAATCGGTCAGAAAAGACGCAGAGTAAGAGAATTTGGAAGGTGAAATGTATGATGCAGGCATTGCCGACTAGACGTATATAAAAAAAATTTATACTATTTTAGTACTTAAAATTTTAAACGCGTTTTTCTCGAAACAATGTTTTTCAAGTTGGCCGGAAACATAACTCCAACAATTTTTGAACGATTCAATTCAAATTTTAACAGTAGCTTTGTAATTAGATTTTACACAGAAGTACGTAGGAGTTTTTTTGATATCTGTCAACTTTTTTGTTATAAACAATTTACGATGAAATTTTTTACTGAAAAATGAATTTTTTCTTCAAATAAGCATTTTTTCAAAATTCCCTACGTACTTCTGTAGCCAATTATATATAGTTTACAAAAAATTTTGGTTTTTTGTTCCGGATTGAAAATTGTGGGAGAAACTTTTCCGGCCGTGAAGCCCTTTCAGCGAGAGGTGGTCTCGAGTTTCGTATTATGCAGCCGCCATTTTGTTTAAAAATGTTAATTAAAAAATTTTTTTATTTGCTTCAGAACATGTATAATACACTCCTATAAACAGATTTTCCATTTCCTTTATTGTATCTCCGTAAAAAATTATCAAAAACATGTCTTTTTTTTCGAGCTCTAGAGTGGCGTTACCCCTTAATTATACATTCGCGTCATACGCAAGCTAGATTTGTAATTGTAAATTTTTTAATTTATTATCAGGTATTTCAAGAAAAAATAAATAAAAATACTGATCTTTGTGTCTTGAGTATTATTAATACAAAATCTTTGAATATATATATATATATATATAACTAATTAATACGTATAATTAAAATTATTAAATTTTATTGTTTAGAATATGTTGGTAAAAATTGTAGTTAAATACCTGATTTTTCTTATAAAATCAGTCGTAGAGTCTTGAAATATATTCGTGCATTAAATTTCATGAAGTTTGAATGAATGCTTCCTGAACTCTCCACAGACTGCTGTTTTCGTACCTAACTTCCACTTCTGTTTACCCGCGATAAATATTGAAACTTTCAGTTTGCATGTAAAAACCGTCAATCAAACGTCGAAATAAGTCACTTCGCTGATTCACATAATTTCTTCTTTCTTAAGTTCCTTGTTGGAAAGTTAGGTCAATGGAATTAACTTTATTCCCAGTTTCATTATTATGATTGTCTTAAAGGCTCAAATTAAGATAACAGAAAATGAGCAAATCAAAATAAGAATTATCGACACATAAAAGTTGCAAAAGTGTATAGCAGAATGATCAATAAATTTTAATAAAAATAAATATTAATTTTTTATTAGTACCATGGACTATTTTTATATAGAAGAATTTATTTAAATATATCTGACATATGTATATTATTACATGTATAAATGTTTGCATATCAATTGAATATATTATTCATATTCTTATAATAATTATTCGCTTAATATTCGCTTGGATAAGACACATACGATTATAGTGCCTTCTAGTTTATTTTTACTCTTTCATTTCGAAAACTTATTAATATGCATGCACTTTCCTTAATTTACTCTCTTCATGTCAATATTGTATTAATCAACTGCAATCTATCGATGCTACTTCATCGAATCGAAATAGAAATTTGAATTTAATCTCTAGTTGTGAAATAGAATTGCAAACACGATATAATTTTTTAATGTCTAATACGAATTTTCTATGTCAATGAGATAGACTATATAGTACATGGACTATATGGTACATGGTAGTTTATTGATGCAATATCGACAAGCAAAAATGAAATTACGAAAAGTACATTTATATTGAACTTTGAACATTGTAGAGCAAAAATGGATTATAATAAAATTTTCATTAGATCTACTTTTATCTAAAATGAAACAGAATTACATTTTAAATGATATATAATTTTTTTTATTGCATGATGAAAAAGTGGGAAAGAGAGATTTCTTCTTCGATGAGCGAAGAAGTTACTAAGAGAAAAATATATCCCGCTAAAAGGCAGAAACGATGAGAGGATGCTGTACTGAAGAAAGGGGAGCGGTCGGTACAGGAGAATTTTACGAAAATGAGAAGAAAGAGAGAATCTTTCCTATTCCTAGTAGTACGAGTCGTACTTTGATCAGTCGCAGTGGATTTACACTCACTCTCAGCAATCCTCTCGCTTCCTCTTGTCGCGTCGCCTTATCTTTTTCTTTCTCACATATCTCACATCGTTCTCTTATCCCCGTATCCCTCCTTCCTCATATACTCGCCCTTATCTGTCGTGCTGTAGCAGCATATCCCGGCGTCTTTGAAGAAGAACTCGCGCGTCGCGGACATTTCAGATGCCTTAGGCACAACCGGAAGTGCCGTTGCAATGCCATTACTTGCAGAAAGAAACAGATATACGGATATAGTGAAGAATGACAGGATGGTGGGAAAACAAAGAGGGGACTACGAGAAAAAAAAAGAGAGAGAGGGAGGGAGGGAATATGAAAAGAAAGAAGGGATGAAAAGGAGGGAGAGAGAAAATATTGTAAAGAAAAGCGATCGCGGCGAAATCCTTTTCTTCGCGAGAAAGACACGTACACGTCGTCGGTGTCTTTTCCGCGCCTTATCCAGCATACAAAACTTATAGCATGTGACATTCGCAGGAAATGAGACACGAAACGAGATGTATGTCCCAAAAACAAGATACATTTTACGAGCGACTTGGTTTCCATTTCTCTATAAACTGAACGCTACTCTCCTGTGTGCACGCGATAGATCCCATCTTGCGACTTACCTGCATACACTTATTCGTGCAGATTTTTAGTCTAAAACAATAAGTCGCGATCCTTGTTATTAAATTTTGTGGTTGTAGCAGTTGCAACGAAAAAGAACATTTGTTGTAACAATAATATAATACATATTTGATCTACATTTTATATATGGAAAAATACGAGGGTAAAGGTGAAATGTTAAAAGATATGATCAGGTATCGAAGAAAACTTTATTCTCGCAAAAGTTCAATATTTCTATAAAAAGTGTGTATACTATGAGAGAATATTTCCGTTTACAAAAAACGAAGATTCTAACGTAAGAAGGCGCACAAAAATGTCAGAGGAAAAGTGCATCCACATATGGTATGCGCTTAAGAATCTTGGTGCCTCTGAAGATTTATATACTCGCGTAAGAATGTGATTTAATAGGTATGTGTTCGATAAATATTTTTGGAATATTTATTCAGGGCATAAAAGACGGAGCCGAATATACCTCGAACATGCAGATCACATTCTGGAATCTTTCATCGTTTGCTTCAATTTCTAACGATATCCAACATACATAAAGTTAAGAATTTATAAAGGCAAAAGTTATAAAAGACTTAAATATGAGTTTATTTACTTCTCTTAAAACATAAGTATAAGGACGATGTTAAAAAGAGGCCGATTTTGCTCAAAAAGTGTAAAAGAAATATTACGTTTTGGTAAATTTTGATCTCTTGAACACGATAAAATCGTTAACGTCTTTGATGAAAAATTTGTATCTATTATTTGCATTTTATATGGGTTTATATAAAAAGCTTAATACAATTAAAAGCTTAATACAATTATATTTAATACATCGAGAGTTTAGCCGTTTAATTAGCTGCAGTAAAGCTGGTAACGGTCGACCAGAGACGTGATTGTAGCGAGTCGATCTCGAGGGTAGATAGAAGTATGGAGCAAAGGAGGGAAACGACGTGGTACGACGCGTCGTCGGGCACGAAATGTTCCGGAATCTAAACTCTAAACTAGAGAATTTGTTCGTGCGGGGACGGAATTTGTCGGCGTGATCGCGTTGCGGGAGATACGATTATGCTCACGGCACGATTTCACTGGGAAGTAATTTCTTTGTGGTTTTCTGTTGCAGATACAAGTCTATGGCTTTAACGCCGAACTGTATCACAACATGAGCGAGGCACAGCATAAAAGTCAGGGGCTGGTGGCGATCTCGTTAATGGTGCAGGTGAGTGAATTTTCCATCGACGATACACCCGACGAAAGTTTCGTTCATTTTTCAAATTATTTCAGTCCGCAAAAAAGTTTCTCGCACGTAACTTCCTTCGCTATAAATTTTTACAGTCATTTAATCTCGCACGTCATTAATAAAAACGTAAGTAATTAAATCGCGCGGATATTAGCTTTCTTGTATTTAGTGGAATCGCGAAAGCATACAGCCATGTTCAAAATTATTAGGCATATTTAAATTTCATAACTCTGTATGTAGATTAAAATAAATACGACAAATTTATTAATAACATATTTGTTTATTAATAAATTATCAATATTTAGTATTTTATTACGCTTTTTTCATAACTACTGCAATATTCTTTTCGTAAACTTTTTAATAACTTTTTGTAAATGGATTTCGTTATTTGTTTTTATAATCGCAATTTGTCTTGTTTTAAAATGCATTTTTGATTACGGATTCTTTCTTTAAGTGAATCCGTAAATGTTTAATCGGTTTGATGTTAGAATTTTGTAAATTACCAATTTATGACTCTAATTCTATTTTTTTTAAACCACGTCATACTTACTAACATAGCATTTATAAATACAGTTACGCAATGAATTCTCCAAGAAAATATAAATACATGAATCGTAACTTATTCCAAGAAAGGAAAAGTAATCCGTTATTTTTTTAGATGATTATTAATTAATAGAATATCTCATTATTTTACATATAACTGTGTGTACGGTTCTGGAAAAATAAACAAAATCTGAATTAAGATTTTATAATATTAACTTTAAAATTTTGTGTAATGTTTTTGAAAATTAAAGAATTAAGATTAAAAAATTATTAATACTCTTTATTTAAGTAACTGTTTTTATTTCGTACTATCTACATGAATTCGTAAAAATAGCTGCTCAATATACATCAAATTCGGTGTTAAATAGAATGCAATAAATCCGACAACGGTCGGCGAGGTGTACTGGTATTTTTGACGTATAATTGATGTATGCCGTAATCAATTAATATCATATATAACAACGTATAACTATTAAAAAATATACATGTCTAAATTGATTTACATGATCTATCGTTTTCTAACTAAACGCCATGTTTAGTTAGACGGACGATGTAAATTGATAATTATGTTGGTTGTTAACACCTTCGCCAGCTTTCCATCTCCCGACTCTTGTCAAGCCATCGTGTTATGGCGAAGCCGTTTCTAACAGGGCGCATATCGTGATACTAACTTTCTAAACTTCGGACCGCACTTAGCTTCCCCTTACAAATGCATTCGGCATATCAGAGATTACGGTAGTTAGCACGTAACAGATGCTACGTAGTCTCGCTAACAACGCTTGCCTTGTAACGAATAAATGACGAACATTCGATTACGTTGATTCTCTCGAGTTCGCAAATATTTTCGTGGGAATTTTCATCAGAATTATGCATCAAAATAAATTGCTAGAAAAAATAATTTGGTACAGGATAAATTTCGATTAATTTTGTAAAATTTCATGGAGAATAATACGTTGAGAGAAGGATGTAACAAATGTTTTCGACACGAATAAAATAACTTTAGGGAAAATCGCATATAAAATGTTACTCTCAAAGTACGCGCGTGTGCACTACAGGTACAAAGTTTTCCAAACGGGCATTAATTACATCACGAGAGCGAGGGCGAACATTACCTGTTATTTTTTCAAGCAGCAAACCCCGGCAGTCCCTCAGCAGTCCCGGCACGTTTCCAACTAACAATATCATTATTATAGCATAATCATTTCAGTCGGAGGCTGCGAGCAAACACGCGGTAAGTTTTCCAAGACGCGCGGCGTTTAACGCAGGAATAAATTTCGAAGTTTTGAGAAGCCTTCTCTGGCCGGCTAAAGCTTTGTCGCGGTTCTCTCTTATCCTTTGTTTGTTTCTCTCTTCCACGTCCTTTCTTACCACGTCCTCGTTAGTTCATTCCTTGTCATTTCACTCGTTAAAATCATACTTCAAGACCATTCTTTGTAAAATAGACAATCGCGATGGTTATATCCACTGGATAAGTGTACATAAATCGATGAATCAACAAATCATAAATTGTAATTTTATGCAAGTTTCGATTGATAAATTTTTATTCACTAAAAGAAATTTAAAAATTGATGAATTTTGATATTACGAGTTATAAATAAATTATAAAGAATTTTTTAATAATTTTATCTGAATGCGACAATAACGAATTGTCTTAGGATTATATGTTAATACTTTGATAATGACAAAATTGTTAATGTAGATATAGCTTCAACCAATATACTGTGAAACGTAATACAAAATGTAACATGATATTGTAAATGTAATTTTAGAATTATTTTACAAATATTTACATACACATACATGTATACGTATACAATAAATACTTGTAATTAAATTACATGTATAAGATCACATTACATTTCGTATCGCATTTCATTATGTAGCATCATACATTTGTGCTTTTTACAATAAATGAATTTGCCATTGTATTTTTTCTTTGTGTAACAACAGTATCATCGGATATATTAAATGTATGTATGTGAAAACTGTAAATCAGTTCGTATCGATATTGGCGATCAAAGCAGACACGATTTTAATATCATACCGAACCGTTTTCCATTTGTATTTTCCTCTTCAAATAACGGATTTATTATCGCGAAGCAATTATTTTGCTTCAACGCTCATGGACCGCTTTCTCGACAGCTTCCTTCGGATCATCTACACAAACTCCTTCCAGTCCAATAGAAATATTATGTTATATCTCTTCTTTCACAAGATTTTTCGCTCTCTATTTTTCACCGACAGAAATCTATCTTTACATCATTTGCACAAATATCGTAATTAATGAATAATAAATTTGCTTTAATCTGACATTTGAATTTTTTGTGCTATCTCCATAACACATTATCGTGAGATTGAAAAAGGAAGAAATCTTTCCAGATTTATTTATACAAGTAAATTTATAATTCAAAAATGAACTACGGGAAGGAAAAACTTTTCAGCGAAACCAGAAATTTCAAGGGGATTACAATTTTTTTAACGGGTTTTTATAAAAAGTTATTCCGTTAAATAAATAGAATTCGACACGAAACTATGTGTTTATTAAATATATATGTTACGTATTTTTTGTTCGTAGTATAAAAACTACGAGTGGACTGATGAGTTTTTAGCTGTGTTATTCGAACAGAAATGGAGAAACGCGAGTGGAGAAACCGTTTACATATTTTCTGTCAGTGGAAAGCGGAATAGTTTTATACTTTATAATAATCTAAAATGAAAAAGATTATCGTCACGTGATGTATTTTTCTTGCCTTTCCCCCGAGAAAGAATATAAAACATGCAATAACTATTGCCGATCTGAACTGTATTTACCTTCGGAATAACTTTGAAACTTTTAGTGACGACCTTCTGTCTCCACTCACTCACACTCTCTTTCAGCGAGCGCCCTTTTTCCGTCCGCTTTCCGCCCTCTTTAGCAACTTAGCCTTCGAAACCGCGGCTACATGGTAGTATAACGAAAACGATAAAATAAGAGTGGAAAGGAGAAAAAGGAAGGGGGGGGGGAGAAAGGGAAAGAGAAGCTGTATGCGTTGTAACGACTACGTGTTATAACGACGCACTTTGACTCCGCTTGCAGCCGTCGACAAACGACAGCAACTTCTAAATATTTTTAAGAGGAGGTTTACGAGCGCTCTCTAAGACGACAACGATGGCCGTAAGACGATGAAAAGGATTCGTCGACGCGATAATACCGAACATAATAGCGCTTTTTCCGCTAGAATTTACAGCCATGTCTGTACATGCACTTTTACATTAGCTCTTGTTGCTTGCCAGCCCGTCTGCTGATTAATAAGACAGATAAGTATAAATATTCATGACTCAGCTTCCGCGGAAATAGTGCAAAAGATTTTTCAGTTATTACATATTCCAGTAAATTAAAATATTCCACTAGAAGAAGAAATGTGAATAATGGATTCTGTTCAGTTAAAGTTACTTACTTGTGAGAGCAAAAATGGTTATAATTACTATAATTTAACTATAATTTATTATTATTTTCGATTAAATATAATATATTTTTAGGTAAAATTACAAAATTATTATTACTACACGGAGGAAGAACGGTTTTACTAAAGTATTAAAAAATTTAGCGAGATACTGAAAATAAAATTTGTTGGACTATCAAAATAATCACGTAAAACGCTTAAACTAATTAGCAAAACGTTTTTAGCAGTATTACTCATTATACGTTTCTATATAATTATTTTGATGGTTCAACAAAATCATTCTTTCAATGTAATTATATTTAAAATTCTAAAATATAACTATGTTAAAAATATTATTTTATTCGACTATCAAAATAATTATGTAGAATACTCAAGCTGATTGCTTGGATGTCAAACTCATTGCTCATCATATTTGAGTTTCCTACATACTTATTTTAATCTAACAAAATAGATTTCAGATCCGTATCTAGCTAAGTTTTTAGACGCTTCAATGAAATCGTTTTCCGCGTATAATATTATATAATAACTATAAAAATGGAACTCTAAATCATAATTATTTTACCATGTAGTTAATTATAAAGTTACACTTATCAAATACTTTTCTTTCAATGTATTCAAAATGATTTTATTTTGGATATAATTGAGCTATAGGAATAATCTTAAATTATAATAAGAGACCGACATGACGCTTTAGATGCGACGAACGAGAGGTAGTTAAATATTATATGAATTAAAACCCGCATAAAACACAGAACACTTTTAGCGACCGCGAAATATATTTTTTCGTTAAGAAATCATAAATTCCAATGAGAGCAGAATAACGCAAACGAATATATGCGGCCGCACGGTCCGAAGAGGTCAGCATTTTGAATAATCCCAATGCGGCATCATCCTTCCTGAAAACCTTTAACAGGTGCTCGATCTCTCGACGAATGGATCGTAAAGGCGTGTCTGGAGGCAACGGGGTTGACGACTGTAATTCAAACGGATTATACCCTGGGGTGTCTGAGGGATGAGATCCAAATGAGTTGGCACTTCGTGATACCGCCGGTACTTTTGCGATCTCGGACCTAAACGAACTCTGTGTCCGACGTTTTAACGCAAAACGTCGGAAACTTTCGAACCGTATAAATTCGTAACATCAATACGTGAAACTGTAAATGCATGAACGTGTTGTTATTTCAAAATTGGTGAATGATTTATTATAATATTGGGATCGTATATAAGCTCGTTCGGTTTTTTAAAATAAAATTTAAATGCAAAATGTTAGAAATATTTTTAATTGTCAAATATACACCATTTTGTTCGACAATCCTCCATCTCTATCAATAAGTTTTATTATTCCTTTTTCTCATATAATCGATATCAGTGATTAGCCGACGAGAGCGTGGAGGGAGTATCTTTGAAATTCATTTCTTCTAAACAAAATTTGTCTAATCACTTCTGATACATATGTTTATTAGTAATTAATAATAAATGATTAGAAAAATATTTGAACACCGTCTATAGGAAAGAATCTTAGTCTCACTCAATAGATGCAGATTAATAATGAATTGATCGCAATTGTTATTGTTGGCACAATTATGCATCACTTACGTTTGACCTTGCGACGGCATAAATGGCGCGTATAGTCGCGACAATTGCTTTGTGGAATGCGAAAAGGTCAGAGAGAAATTATACAATGACTAAACGGAATCCAAAGTTTCTTAGAAAAAGACGAGGAAATCGCGACCTACGATCTAAAAGATCTGTAAGGTATAAGCGTCACAGTGGAACACCGTTGGAAAAAAAGTTTCGAAACCCCGTTCGAGCGAGGTCGAAAAAGTTTATTCACAACACGCGATTCTAGTGACTTTATTTTCACAAATTGCTTATGATTCATTGGGAAGGTAAATTACGTCCAAACACGAATTCGTGATATTAAAAGAGCAAAATTTGCATGTAAAACAGTTAATTTTCCTTTCGCTCTTTAAAAATAAAAGACTCCATATAATCAGTCGTAATTAACTGTAATTAAGAGGAACAAAAATATGTTGCATTTTCTTCCTTTTGACAGACTTAAATCATTTATAGGCTTATGCAAGGAGGCCAGAAAGCGTTTGCCACTTCCCTTCTAAATTTTAGCAAGAAGAATTAATTAAATTATGGAAATTATTTTTGCGACGACAAATTAAACACTTATTGATCAATGCGTAGCTCTCGTGTTATTTGTAAGAAAGTTTGTTGAAGAAAAGCTTTGAATAGAAAGAACAGTTTTTGTTGAAGAACATAAAAATTTAGTTAGACACAGAACTGAAAATAATTTTGTTGGACTATCAAATTAATTACGTAGAAACGTTAAATATTAATGGCAATGCTGGCAAAAATTTTAACATTTCAACAACTATAGTTCAAGCGCGTCCTACATTTATTTCAATTTCAAATAAATTTATTTTCAAATTTGTATCTAACTAAGTTTTTATACACTCTGACAAAACCGTTCTTTCCACTAATATAAGCATTTTAATAAGTTTGGTGTAGAGATAAATTTTTGCCTCTTTCTGAAATCCCGATTACGCTCTCTATGCAAATATCATTTATTAATATGTATACCATGGACGTATTCCAAATTATTTGTGACGAATTGTTATCAATTCTGTTATCCTATAAATAGCAATTTTTTGTGTTAATAAATTGTCTTGTTCAGTATATTTATTCAGAACTTCGAATATGTATTTTTCTTCATTCTTAATTTGAATGGGAAAGATATTACACGCGTTTTGTATATTATAATTATTTTTCCCTGAAGAAAATATGAATTGTATGAGAAATATTGCTAAATATTATTAAGAGAATATTAAATTAAAATTAAATAAAAAGAAAAGGAGGAATGACACAAATAAGAAGAGTTAAAAGTAAAATTGTATTTTTCTTATAATTAAAAATGAAAAATGAATAAAAAATTTTGAGAGGGAGGAGGGTTGAACTCCTCTACAAATCCCACCTCTAGATACACTCATGATCAATACAGTCGGATGATTAGTGCGGTTGTTTATCACTTTAACTACTACGAGGAAATTGCTAACCTGTAATTACGCCACGCGTCAATTTAGCGCGACTGCCAGTCAGTAGTCCTGATCTAATGACAAAAGACAGGAATTCCGCGCTATCAAACGGAAGGAGAAATTTGGTTGACATGAAGGATTCTGTGTGCTGCAAGAGATGGAGAGAGAGAGAGCACGAATGAATCGAGCTTGCTAATTTCCCACGTCCATTGGGTAGACTGCATAATATGACGCGAAGTCGAGCACTACCTGCATCGGTTTAGCGCAATGCCCTTTATTCGCGATCATCGTAGCCAGAAGTGAAACCACAAGGACGGACCCTTGTCGCGCGATCGATACGATCTCAGGACGGGGCGTCGTCGTTGGAGCTTGTTTATTGCCCAACTGCTACGGAAATTACGAAGCTACAATTACAAATTAGTGTACAGTTGATTTGCCAAACAAGTAGCAACATGCTGACGGCGTAAGCCGCAACTGCAGACCGGATTTAACTAGATAGACTTTGGTTCTACCGTGTGGGATTTAACGCAGCTGATTTTGCAGTATTTTAAACACTGGACATTGAAGGTATAAATACCAAGAGTGAATTTATAAGTAAATTAAATATACTTTTAAGAAATCGCAATTAATTTGAGCAAAAGGAACAATAAAATTAGAAAATAACCTTCGTATTATATCATACATTAATATAATTATTGATATAATAGAAAAAATATATTTCTCTATTACTTTTAATAAATATTTTTCAGATTTATATTTTTGTGTTGAAAATCTCAATGAGAATATTTAGGAAATAATATATTGTAAAAAAAGTATGAAAATTAAATAAATAATAAATATAAAAGTCAATCTGCAGTATAAATATGTAAAATCGTGCGTTCTTATAGAAATTATTTCTATCTCTATAATTGCTTAAATATCATGTCTTTATATTAGGAAAATTACAATAACAACAGTATATTTTATAGTTTATATATAAATTTTTATGTGATAAAGGGAATATTATATAACATTATATATATCACATAATATATTGTATTTATATGTAAATGTTTTTATAAATTTAACTTTAATTGTAAATTTATTTTTTCAAATTGTTTGCTTATTATAAAGAAGAATAATTTTATTTATAATTTGTGACTTTAAGTAAGTAAATATATGTAGGTATGTTGAAACACACACAATAATGGATCTCAAAATTACCTACTATAAATTGTTATAATTATACATGTAACTTTTTTACAGTGTATTGTACATATTAAAAAATTTTAGTGCGTGTTTTTGATATTCCATATCATTTCAGTGATAAGAAGAATCTTCTTTTGATTAAACGAATATGAAGAAATTGTAATTACCGCGAATTTTCCCAGTTAAGTTTATTCTAGAACGACGAGATTAAGAACGTTTAAGGACGGCCGTCATTGAGATTAATTCTCTTAGCTCATAATTAAGATTAGGTTCCCTTTATTACAAGAAATTTAAACGGAGATTAAACCGTCGCCGTCCGCTTACCTGTCTCGCAACTGAATCTCGATTACGTCCTATGTAATTCTCAAGTATCTGGATTAAGAGGTAAAACAGTTGCTACCTCTTTACATATTTATAGCTCTTGATAATTTCAATAGTATTAGATATATTATTTAACCAATAATCGTTGTATCAAAGCGTTAATAAAATTTATTAACGTTTGTAAAAATAATCTGGGGGGATTCGAATATTGATTTTTTTTAAATATTCACAGTGTTTATGATGTTTTAAAATTTTAATCTTTCTTAATTTAATTATCGCAACTACATTTTATTTAATGCAAGGTATAAAGAAATTTGGTCTAAATCGAGCATTAATAACATGTTTTCATAAAATAAATTTCAAGTTTACAATGTTAGTACAGCGTAAAAATAAAAATATATAAAGAATATAATATAAAAAAATAATATATATACTTAACGCATTTTTAATCTATTATATTTTATACCGACACATATGATAATTTTTTTCTTGCAATAAACGAAGTCCTCAAAGACTAATAGAGACATTGTTTCCTTGTTATTTATTCACAATAGCCCTCTTGCAAAACGCTCTTTTAACGCAAAATGCAGTAACAACATCGATAGCTTTAATTAACGATTATCCATAAATCTGGATACTGCAGAATATATCCATTGTAAAGAGAAATATCTCTGCCTCGCACACTCCATCCTCGATTGTATCTCACCTCATTTTATCCATCTTCTTATCTCCCTTGTTTATCTCTATTTACGGAACGGAAAGACGAGACAGAAGCGGCGATAATAATTTTGTGCCACGGATAGGGAAACGACGAAACTTTTGATCGACGGTGGACCCACGCGGCTACGCCACGCGCATCAACTTTCATTATTTATCGTTACTTTAAAGTCCGCGGTCGGTTTAGCCAGGGGTTTTACGGTTATCTTTAATGGCGCCCAGTGTAGAACTTTCGAAACGACTCTTTGCCTTCACCTCTTTATGCGGTGCACTTAGCACCGACCGAGCAACCCCTTTTCATGGGAAATCGATGGAAAACGTATCAGGGCGGAGAGAACAGCGAAGGACACATCGCTGACGCGGTGCACGTGGCGGTGGAAGTTGTGATATAAGGTGCCGCTGTCGTTTAAACTGGATACAAAGAGAAGCTGTTTTCTGTTTCAGCTCGGTGAGACGTTAAATCCCGAACTGCAGATCATCACCAGCGTGTTCAACAAGGTCATATATCGAGGTGAGTACAATATGTCGTGGAAGGAAACGTAAAATGCTTCTCCTCTGCTCTTTTCCTAAATCAAGCTGGAAATTCCGTCGTCATCCTTGGCTCTCTATTACACGATATCACGTTCGCTTGTATCTCATTCAATGACGTGATAACTTTCTTCCTTTTAACCTCGTGGTTCCACTGGATACCGATGATAGCTTTCCTTTTGTGTGCGTGTGATGTTCATTTGATCACGTTCTCTTTCTTACACTATACATATATCTTAAATTGATATTAAACAGTTTCGAATATTAATGTTTAGTATTTATTTGGATTTATTATACACAACTTACACAAGACGTTATTTAAGATCATTAATATATAATTATATCCACACAGTAAGCAAGAGAGAGAGAGAAACTTCGCATCGCAATATCTCCATTCGTAGGCCACAGAAAACAATTTTATTATAAAATTTAAACTTCTGAGTAAATTGCGAATACTGAAAAGTCGATTAATTCAGTCGTTTATTGTGAGATCTAATAATCTCGGGTGCTCGAAACTCACCGACTTGCGTATCATAAATATATGGTGCGGTCTCGCTCCGCATTCACTTGGTGCGAAACACTACCGTGTCTTTTGATTCTAATTCTTGCTACTCCACCATTAATTATATAGATAAATACAAATAATGTACGCTTTCTATCGTATTTCTGAATAAATAATGTGATAATTGGCGAGCAGCATATTTACAAAAGTAAATCGTGCGTGTCGTGTTTAAACGTTGCTCTATTATTTCCTTAAACAAATAAAAATTTATGAAACATGTTTTCATAAAATAAATTTCAAGTTTACAATGTTAGTACAGCGTAAAAATAAAAATATATAAAGAATATAATATAAACAAATAATATATATATGTATATATATATAATATATATACATATATATATATATACTTAACGCATTTTCAATCTATTATATTTTTTATACAGGAAATACGTACTTAATTTTATTATGGAAAACATGATTTTTGAAATAAGAGTTTGAGAGTTAAGTTTTAACGCATTCTCTATATTTTTGCAAAATTGCATCGGAATTTCGATTTTTTTGACACCATTGAATATAATTGGTACGTTATCGATGCCGGACGTATCAAACGATGTGTAATAATTATCTATTCGTAATCACTCTCCTATTGAGGTTTTTTATGGTGTACATCGAGCGAAGTGACGTTACGACAGACGACGTAACTACGCCGTATTGTGTTACTAGAACGTAAATCCTGAACAAGCTGTGCAACAGCTCGATACTAATTTCCTACAATACTCTGGCTAAATGCATCATTGCAATCGTCTCAACGTACTCCACATTGAAGGAACTTGATAGATATGTGATGCTGCACATAAGAGGTAGAGCTTCAAAAAATAACGAGATCTGCATGTTTCACATAAAGTGAGAGAGAGGGGGGGAGGGAAAGGGAGAGGGAGAGAAATTGTCTTCAAAATCCTTACGAGAAATATTTCTCTTCAGATCATCTTATAAAAATAGATCTACGATACTTGGCGTTTATCATGAACAATTCATCACTGCATTGATATAAAAGTGACACATCATAAAATGATTATCTTTTTTTAGTAAAGCACAGTAAAAAATATTTTGTGTATTTGTGTTAAAATCAATCCAATCAAGTTCTTATTTAAAATGTTGTGTTGATTTTTTGATATATCCGAGTTAATTTAATATAATGTGTATATATTTAAATATTTTGTGTTAAATTAATATTCAACATTTTTTAGTATCAAAATAATACAATTTATAAATAAGTGAACAAATAACGTAATGTACAATATTTTAAAACGTAAGTTCTAAAATAAATGAATAAAATAGGATCAGAGAGTCAAAGCAGCAGAAAGTTTACTTGAACTGTAAAAAGCATTTAATATCGAAATTTTTAGCTCGTTTAAGGTCGTCTGAAAATTCTGAAAGGCGAGGCTGCAATTAGTGACTTTCCTTTAAAAAAACTTAGTTTGCGAAGAATGCGGCGCGGACAGGAATCAGGTATGCGGTTTCGCGTCGCGATGAATACGCGCTTCACGCATCGGGTACTCCCGATAAGTTTTGGACGGAAAGTTAACCGGATGCTGCGGTCCGTTGGAGTAACCGCGGGTAATAAATAAAACGCCGTGGGGATGAGAGAAGAGTGTCGGTTTTGCCAGCGATATCCGAACGAAGCTTAGAGAGACGACGGCGGCGGTGGCGGCAGCAACGGCTGTAGCGGATGGCACTCGAGTCGAGAGTGAAAAGTCGAAAGCGGGGCCTTTACGGGGAGGAAAAAGACGAAGTGGATGAAATGACTCTCTTAAGATAACGAGTCACTTCCTCGACTCATTGAGTATTCGTGCCAATGGACGCGTCACCATAGGGTAGGAAAGCACTTCTTTTTCTATAATCTTTAGTTGGAATTTATAAAAACGATGTTATTACATACACACACACGCATACACATATTCAGTTGGATAAAGTACTAATACCGAATGTTACTTTTCCGGAGCTATTTCTAAACACATGTATAATAATAATTCCCGTTCTTTCTCTGATATCTTTTAAAATACATATATGTTGTGTATTTATCCAATTTGTAACTGAATAATTTTTCGAGGGACAATATTCTGAAAGTCATCTTTTTAATCGTGTAAAAGCCTCGTACACATACAAATAATCATCGCAGAGATCGTTTGTATCGTAATAGGAGGATTATAAATACGCGTTCCATTGAGAATGACAAAAAGTAAAAGAAGTAGCAGTGAGTATGAATAACGAGGAAGCGTTTTAGTGGAGAGTAAGAGTAATGAAGAAAATGCGAACCGACGGTGTAAATTACTTACAGTAATGCTTTTCCGTGCATCGAAGTAAGCGAAACAATGCTACTAGACAACTAGTTAATAAATTTCCGGCTTTCTAATTACCATAGAGTAATTAGTATATTCCTTTAAAAAAAAAGATAATTATTGAATTTCGTCTTTTTTTAAAAGTAATTATTATTTGAAATAAAAAATTGCGTGTTTTATATCACATTCAATATTTATTTCGATTTTGTCATAATAAATTTTTTAATAACTTTATATACGTATAATCTTATTATTACACACAGAAGAAAAGGTTTGGATGAACCGTTTGTATGGGACGTGTTAAATTTTACACTTTTAACTATATACGTTTTGCAGTTTCAACTCTCCGTCTGCAATCTGGACTTTTTAATGCAAGCAAAATTTTACTTTTAAATTTCGCCTTCATTTTTGTTCAAATTTCAATTTCTTTAAGTAAAGATTAATGTCTGACTGACAAGTTAAAAAAAGCTATCAATGTAATAAAGATGCGTTAAAAAATAATCATGACCTCTTTTTGAAAGCTTAAATTGATAAGAAAATTTGAGCTGGACAAAAAAGACACAGATTGTAGAGAATTAATATTTACAATTCTGCTATTTTTGTATCAATTTAATTGTATCATCTTTGTATCTAAATTCTTTGGAGTGGAATTTTATTTTAAATAATGAAAGTTCTTGAGAGAGAGAGAGAGAGAGTAGGTTCAATATTTAAGAGCGAGATTTCACTCTTCGAAGTGAGATTCACCGTAAAACTTTTAGAGTGAGTATCATTATACGTATACGAGTGCTGCAACATTCGCATAGTATCACGCAAGTTCTAGTTTACTGAACTATGCTGAATACTGAAGCGGAAGAAAATTGTAGCGTTGTATCAAAGCACCGATAATACGCGCGTTATACCGTGAACGTGAATTGAGTCTATATAAGTACCGAGTGCGTTTATATCATCGCGATCCGTCCGCGATTTTTCATAACTTGTCTCGGCGAATTAACGCCCGTCAGAGTCTCGTTACGATATTAAAATTAAATGGATGGCGCGCATAATGGATTATAACGCTCGCGCCGCTGCGTCAAGAACGGTGCGGGCGCGATCCACCGTTTTGATGTATCGCGCCGCGACTTACGGACGCAAATTGCACCCGACGTAAAATCGAAATATGACTCCTTCTCCCACGCGCGTGCTTTCTTTCTCTCTTCTGCCTTTCTCCTCGCCCGTGGATTCCATCGGCGCAACGAAAACTTCCCGCGATTTGCATCCGCGCATTCGCCGTCGAGAGAGCGCCGAGCAAGAAAGCGCCTCGCTCGTTCCTCCGTTCAACTTGCGTGGCATAATTCTGCAAATGCCACGGCTGGTTGCATTGCTCGACGAGGAAGAAAATAAACTTTACAGCCAAGTATTCTCGAGGGTGGCAGAGGATGGGACGTACGCCGGCAAAGAGAAGGATGGAAGGACCATCGATGCGCGCACTCGGGATGCTTCCTAGTAGGATTTCAGATACCGCCCTTCCACAGTCATCCCCCTACAGTCGTGGGTCCGTATAAGGGGAGTTTTTGGTGTCTCTTCGACTAAACGATTCGACCTGGAAGCGTGCCTGGCGCTTTTTACACGGTTAACACGATCAACGATGGACGCGCGAACGGGAAGGGAGGGACATGGGGTCGATTTACAAGGTACGGCGATGTCACATACTCCGGCCGGCCGCCGGTCTGGTGTGTGCATAAATCTGTATATACGCCCGGGCACGGTTATGTGTGTATTTTAATCAATACCCTGTTGACACCGCGACCAGGGAACATAAATCATAAGACAATGGAAAATGGCGCGCAGGGAGGAGGAGTTACAGCGGGATCTAAGTATTCCATTGTCGTGTACGTGCCGAGACAGGCACGTTGCATATACAGTGGCCCACAATAGTTCGCCTATGCCATCGTGAAATTTATTTAACTCAAGCCTTTCATCAGCTAAACATGTTTTTGTACAGAACGCTCGCGTGCAGGTCGCTCGCCAATGAACGAAACTGCGCGAAGCGACGTTTTAAAAGGATTTTTATTTAATGCGACAATATCGTTCTCGAATTATTGAAGATTGTTTTTAACCCTTCGGTGTCATTTTTATTATGGTAATTTGTCAGATTTTTAA